CCCCCCCCCCCCCAAAATCGTGCACAAATAGCGTACAACAAACCAAAAGTAATGGTGTCCTAGAAACTAATAAACAGCCAGATAATTCAGAAAAAATTTTGTTGGCAAACTTTAAAGCCTTAGCACTTTTGAATTTCAGCATCTTACTTGACATTGACTTTGGAGTTTGAGAACCATACATTTTTGGGAAATGTGCAAACTCCTTCTCTCTTCCTATGTCTCAATTTATCTTCCCACTGTGCCCTGAATTCTTAGGAATTAGATTTCATGGGGTTCGGGAAATCAGCTGGGTCTGAAATTGACATGAAGGTTGTGGGAGCAGAGAAGGAAGCAGACCTGGGAGGTCAAGGAGAGATATGTAGGAAGTAATCTGCTATATAGCCAGTCAACTGTGATCGTCTTTGAGTGGGTGAGCAGATTACCTGCTTTGTGGATCATCTATCCCCTGGGAGCTCCTAGCCTGTATGGGGCTGAACCAAGTGGAATCAAGACCACGAACAGAACTGGTTTATGGGGCATCTGATAAGGGAGAAAAAGGGGAGGAGGTAAGAGAGAGAGAGACAGAGAGAATGACAATATCTCAGTTTGCATTTAAGGCCAACTAGAACTCACTTGAGTGGTGGTACCTGCAGTAGTAGAGAGCATAGATCCTAGAATTTGACCTATATTCAAATGCTGCTTCTGCTATTTCCTCGTATATGATGTTGGGCAAGTAACTTGACCTGTCTCTGCCTCAGTTTTTTCATCTGTGATACAGGGCTATTTTTTTTTTTTTTTTTTTTACCTCCTAGAGCTGCTTTGAAATTAAACTAGTATATACGAAACGTGATTAGAAGAGTTTCTGATCCACAGTAAAAATGAGCATTAGCTATTCGTAATATGTTTCATTGGATTATCCACCGTTGTTTTGTGTCCTTCAGGGTGTCCCTCCTTACAGATAGTTAATAAAGAACTCTTTCTGACATAGAAGACTCTTTCCATTGCTTTTTGGAATGAGTAGAGTCATCCTTACAAACCTCAAGGAGGGGAAAAACCCTTGTAATATGTGACAGCAAAGCTGAAGTCGAGGATCCCATGGTGGTGAAGGGAATGTTTGGCCTTCTGTAGAGAAATTTACAGGAAAGAATGGGATGCTTACAAATGTCCGAAACAGAGGCAAAGGTGGAGAAAGCCTTGAGACTGGCAAATTATGATTAAAGCTTTAAGCTTAGAGATTTTCATGTTTGATAATTCCTGAGAAAATACTAGCCAAAAGTATCAGGATCCCTGGCAAGGTATTTGTGACATATTTTTTTGAAATGAGACCCTGAAATTCCTCAGCAGAGCACTGAGTCATCTGGCATCAGGGTACATATTAATATAGTTTAATTGTGGGGAGATTTGTCTTTTCCCTCCATCAGTCTGTAGAACTTGCCATGAGAGGTGGAGAAAAGTTAGTAGCTCCATCTAACGTAGCGAATTCAGAGGCAAAACCCCGGCCAAACATGTGAAAGTTCTCCCTAATCTTTTGGGTCCCCTGTGCCTGTCCGAGTTTGTTAGGAGACTCACCGCCCCTCCCCTCAACTTTGCGTTTATGCAGGACCAGAATGGCCACGACATCCCCTAGAGGTTGCCGCTCAAGCCTGGACGCCAAGTACCACAGACTTTGTGATACCACTCAAATCTGGGGCATCGTCCTAGAAGCGGTGGCCGCAGTGGGGGCTGTGACCTCGGTGGCCTTCATGCTCGGTCTCCTGATCCTCATCTGCAAGGTGCAGGACTCCAACAGGCGAAAAGTGCTCCCGACCCAGTTTCTCTTCCTGCTGGGTGTGCTGGGCATCTTCGGCCTCACCTTCGCTTTCATCATCCAACTCGATGGCAGTACAGGGCCCACCCGCTTCTTCCTCTTCGGTGTCCTCTTCTCCCTCTGCTTCTCCTGCCTGCTGGCTCATGCTTTCAACCTGACGAAGCTGGTGCGTGGGAGGAAGCCGCTGTCCTTGCTGGTGATGCTGGGCCTGGCCGTGGGCTTCAGCCTGGTGCAGGATGTCATTGCTATTGAGTACATCGTCCTCACCATGAACAGGACCAATGTCGCCATCTTCTCTGAGCTTTCTGCCTCTCGGCGCAATGAAGACTTTGTCCTGTTGCTCACCTATGTCCTTTTCTTGATGGCGTTGACCTTCCTCACGTCCTGCTCCATCTTCTGTGGATCCTTCACTGGCTGGAAGAGACACGGGGTCCACGTCTTCCTCACCATGGTTCTCTCCATTGCCATCTGGGTGACGTGGATCACCCTGCTCCTGATTTCTGCCCTTGGCCCCGAGTGGGATGATACCATCCTCAGCTCAGCCTTGGTTGCCAATGGCTGGGTTTTCCTGTTGGCTTACGTTGCGCCCGAGTTTCAGCTGCTCACGAAGCAACGGAACCCCATGGATTACCCTGTTGAGGATGCGTTTTGTAAACCTCAGCTCATGAAGCAGAGCTATGGTGTGGAGAACAGAGCCTACTCTCAAGAGGAAATCACTCAAGGTACAGAGCACGGCTGGGTGAGAATTCCTTGTAGGAAGATGGGAGGGAATCAGAGGATATCGGTTGTTGTTTTGTTTTGTTTTTACATTTTTATTTATTTTTGAGAGACAGAGAGAGACAGAGCACAAGTGGGGGAGGGGAAGAGAGAGAATGAGACACAGAATCCGAAGCAGGCTCCAGGCTCTGAGCTGTCAGCACAGAGCCCGATGCGGCGCTCGAACTCACAAACTGTGAGATCATGACCTGAGCCGAAGTCGGACGCTTAACCGCTTAACCTGAGCCACCCAGGCGCCCCAGAATCATAGGATATTGTAACTGTAAGGAACATTCATGATTATCCAGGTCATACCCCTGACAGAACAGACAGGGTCCCCAAGGCTCATCCAGCTGGTTAGAGTTCTAGTAGAACTAGAAGTTTTAATAGAGTTTTAATCTAGTACTTTCTACACAATACCCTGTGGGTTTCTCTGAGTCAAAATAAGTTGGAGCAAAGGAATGACTAGAAACATCCCTAGAGACCTGTAGGCGAGATTGTGTTCTTTATGAAGGATAGCTGGGTGTTCCTTCCAGAAACATGAAGCCTTTATAGATTTGAATGCAGAAAGCCAAGCCATGATTCCTTGCGGTAGGCACAGAGCACAGAGGAGGGAGAAAGCCCTTTTACCACAAACCCGTAGAAATCTCCATAAAGTTACTGAGGATTCTGATTTATCCTGCACAGCCACATCTTACTGTGTGTCTCTGGGCCCACGGGAGGGAAGAGATTGTATCTGACATAAAAGAATCCAATGATTTTGCTCTTGCCTGAAGTCACGAGTAACCAGGTGTTCTGTTGTTCTCACAACAGAAAAAGGCTACACCAACAGCTAGAGACTGCCCTTGCCCTTAGGGACCTATCCGTCGGTCTGTGAGGTGTCCACTGCTCTCTGGGCCTAATCAAGAGTCCCTGAGGTTTACACCGACCTCTGGGGGGATGAGTTTGGGAGAGGAGTGAGGGACCTCCAAGGCTAGGTTCTTAGGTTCAGCTAACAGTTTCCTCTGCTCTTGAAGCCCGAGGTGCACAGCTTCCTGGTGCTTCTCACGGGAGCTGTGATTCGTCTCCGGGGCGCTTGGAAGGCCAAAGGGAAACAGGGGCGGCTGGAGGGGTTGTTTTAGCACCCATCCACTCCTGTCCATTCTCACGGCTTCACTCTGTCACCGCGCTCCTGGACTCCCTGTTATCATTCCCGAACTGCGATTCCTCCCTTTCATCCTTCCTTCCATCCATTTTGTAGGCCACCTGTCCCCTTCCTCTCCCCTAAAATACTTCTCTGGCCACCACATGTTCCTGCTCGCAGACGTTGCTGGCTGTCTAAGATCCACCATGTTGACTTAGGGAGGCTTTTCCCAGCGAGAACCCAACAACCACGGAAGCTGTGCTGTCCGTCCAAACAAGCCAAGTCACTCAGTGCCTTTCCCTGCCTGTGTGTCCAGGCTCCAGGCATGCTTTTGTGCCCTGTTCTTGCCCCTTTCCAGAGCACACATTGCCCAGTCTCCTTATTCGCTCCTCCCACACGCTGTAGAACTTTGAAATGCTCTTATCAGAGTCTGTCTCATTTCATAGCTATTTGTGTAGCTGTCGTATATCCCTTGCTCTCCAGTGTCAGCCTCAGGCCAGGAATCCGTCTGGTTAATCCTTATATTCTCCACAGTAACACAGAGAAAGTATTTGAGGTGTTCACGGAGTAAACTGAATAGGTACACTTGGTGGGAAATCTCAGTAACCTGGAACAGGTGAATGGCTTGCTTTAAATTGTATTCACGACAACTGTATGCGTTTACTCTTCTGTTCCAGAGTTTAAATCCCTCCAGTGTTCCCCAAATACCGAGAAAACAATTGCTTATAAGTTCTGCCCCCTCCCAAAGAAAGTAGTAAAATTTTTTTTTTCTTGCCTTGCTGGTGGTTAAGGAAGCAGGTAAATCCGTAGTGAGCTTCACTGTAGGTAACTGACAGCGCTTGGACAGTTCTCTGTCTGAAAAGACTGGTTTCAAGAGTGCTTTTCAAGTGGTCCTGGATTGAGGTGCGCCACCCGTGAAAGTTTTGGGAAAGGCGCTTCCCTAGTGACCCTATGTTGGTGGTTATTCATTTATTCAACCAACATTGTGCTTATTTTGTGTTTGGCCCTGGGCTTGGGACAATCTCTCCCCACGTGAAACTCGCGTCTGCTGGGAAGATAGATGCTTAGATAGACCGAACTGGGGTAGGCACAGGCAGAAGCATGATGTGGTGGGGGGGGACCCTGACGCTGTAATCCCCGCCCCCCCCTCTCTTTCAGGCCTTGAAGAGCCAGGTGACACGCTCTATGCTCCCTACGCCACCCATTTTCAGCTGCAGGTAAATGGTTTCTTTCTCCTGTTACACCAGCAGCGTCAGCCCCCCTGGAATGTCTGTCCTTTGGGAACACGGGCTGTAGCCACTCTCACGGCCCCTGGAAGGCCACCTTGAAAGGGTGCGGTGTCTTCCTTTCCCGTGATCTGCCTCAGGGGTTAGCACAGGACCCTGGAATGCAGGGCTTCAGGGGGAGGGTTGGGAGAAGGGGAGAGAGTTAGATTCCCGCCCAGATTGGAGCTCTGTGGAAATATCCGGGAATTGGAGTGGGTTTAACGATATGGTTGCTGCCTTTTCAGAATCGGACCTCCCAAAAGGACTTCTCCATCCCGCGGGCCCAGACTCGGACTAGCCCTTACAATGACTATGAAGGAAGGAAAGGCGGCAGTTAGCTGTTCCGAAGAGTGGGGCGAACACAGCAAGTCAGCCAACCAGGGGGGGTTCAAAGGGATGTGGGCTACACCCGGAGTCGCCTAAGGAAACTGTACAGAACCTTTTGGGACGAGCTTTCCTTCCCTTCTGGAGTTGCTGGGGGGCTAACAGGACGGCAGGTCACAGCACTCTAGGGTTTTTCCTTCGTCCCATACTTAGGATCCGTCTTTTAAGCGGGAGAGAGTCTCAGGCAAACTCAGGGTGTGCCCCTCACGGTGCCCAGTCATTTCACAAGCCATGAGAGCTCTGCTCATCTGACCGCTTACTGGCGCGGTTAGCTGCAGGTGCCAGCCTTTCTAACTCAGGACGGGTTTTGTGAGGACCGCTTGGCCCGGAGCAGAATGGCAAATCTGAGCAAAAACAGCCAAGGCCCGTCCCTGCTGAAATCTACACTGGAGACCAACTCACTGGCACCCTCCCTTCTCGCCTGGGTAGGAGAGGCTCAAGGTCACCCTAAACGTTCTCATCTCTGGTGCTACCACAGGACCCCTGTGGGTCCGCCGCACCAATTCACAGGTCACCATTCCCAAACATGCTGTCCATCCCCAGACTGAAGCTCCCCTGTACGCTTCACCAGAAGTCCCTCTTCTGTAGCTCGCCAGCGGGGAGAAGCCCGATTTCTCTTTGGCAGGAGAATCTGTGCACTGTTCTTGCTATAAACTCCTGGCACTGATCCTTCTCTCAGCGCCTTGCTCCTCAGCTTCTGTAAATAGCTCTGCATTGTGTTCACCACCTGTGTCCCACAAGAGGACATTGTCCTCCAAAGGAGAGCGTTCCGTGTGTAATAAGTTATTCACTGTTCCTCACTTGGAGATGCAATAAAGATACGGTGGCAACTCTTTGACTGTGAGAGCTGCGGTGGGACCTGAAGGAGAGACGGCAGGCTCTTGTCTTCTTCACGTGGAGCTCCAGACACGGAGCCGAAGTTCAAGGTTCAGTTCCGTTGGGTGAGAGGCAAGGGTGAGAGGGGGAGCCAAGAACGGCCACGGACTCTGAGGTTTTGTTCCAGGAAGGCAGAGGAATGGCAACCCTGGGATGGGCTTTGGTGGCCCCAGTAGGACCAGGAGGAGTCCTCAAGGCCAGCTTCCCGATCCACAGGAGGTTTAATTGTAGGAGGGGATGAATTCAGATCCCTGTTTGACACAATCGGTTCATAATATCCCTTGGAAAATGCATAGTCACTAACAATTATTATTTAGTTACCTCGAGAAGCAGCTCTGTGGGGTGGGGCAATAGGAAACACTCTTTGGTGAAGGAAAAAGAATAAATCCCCATATGCAGAAACGGAATGACATTTAGAAATTCGTAGCTGAGTTTGGGAGTTATCTCCTAAGAGCCTGATGCTCCGTTTTTCATCAGAAGGAAAAGCCCTGTTGGGCAGAGGTGAGGTGAGGGTGGAGAATTAACGACACTCTGAATTAAGGATGTTTACATTCCACAAAGATTTGGTGGTTTCCCACATGGCTTTGTCCCAGCATCAGCCTAGTTTTGTATTGAAAAGGGGGAATTACAAATAATGAGATGGATCCTTCTAGACCATTCTAATCTTTCTTAAGAGGTTAATCTTTTCTCAGTGAGGTTGTTGTCAGGCGAAGACAATATAATTTCACGTGTATTATCTACCACGGCGTAGGTACTCAAGAAATACATGTTCCCTTCCCTCTTTTCTTTACTCCTCTGGTGGTTAGCCCATCAACCAAGCGAAGGGGGCTGAGTGAAAAGCAAAGCCACAGAATACCCTGGATCTGCTTTCCTGTTAGGGGCAAGGATCTGCCGGGCTTTTGTAATCCCATGACGGCAGTCCTCATGTCAGCCTCTTCAAAAACAGGAGAAAACATGGAAATGGCGCCCATTGCTGGCTTCTCTCCCAAGAAATACAGAGTTTGGACAAGTAGGCCATCACCTCGCCGAATCCTTCCTTGTTTCTTCCTTGTTTCTTGTAGATAACTGCTCCCCGTTCGAACAGATCTTGTCAAACCCCGTCCGTGGCTGCTACCCTGTCTTCAGGTCTTACGTGTCCAGGCCATAATTAAACTCTTCTGTTAAAATAGGGACATCACAGGAACTGGAGGTTTGGGCACCTGACAATTACTACGATATTGGACAAGAGGGTTTCAAAGACTTCCTGTAGGTTTCCATCTTCACTGGGCTGAAATAGAAGGTGCAAATTTAGCCCAGCTTGGGCCTCGAGTGACGCCGGTTGATTGATGGCTGGGAACCAAAATGGCATCTCCTTTGAACTAAATGGGTGATAATGAAGTGAAACTCAGCAACCTTCCTCTCATCTTTCACTGTCAGAGTCTCCTCTCTGCCTCTGGCGTCACGCGGAGGCTCTTCTGCCGCTGCCATACCCCATGCTTCCACTTGATGGCGGTAAAACCTCAGAGATCAGCCTCAGGGAGTGCCCGGTGCAGAGGCAGAACCAGAGACATTCAGTGGGCTTGAGGCAAATGCGTCCCATTTTAAAAGGCTTGTATGTATGAGCTGTTCGTGTCCTCCCTCCCACCATCATTAAAGGACCCATGTCCTCTGCCAGATGTTCATTGCCCGGTGTGTTAGTTTTGTGAAACTCTGCAAGGTATTCTAGCAGCCCATTTGCATGCAATCTGGCACCTTTACCGATAAACGGTGTCAGATGCTGTTGTTATTAATGTCGACGAATATTTATGTGGTGAGAACATTGACTTTTTGTCAGGGAATGCGTGCCAAAACAAAGAGTACAGCCTGGCCCTGGAAAGGCAGCAGTAAAGCCCATCCCTCCCGGTCCCCTGCCCCCATGCATTCTGGGTTTCCTTCCTTCATTTCTAGCCTTGTCATTATTGCTGAGAGCCGAACTGTGCCCAGCTGATCTTTTCCTTCCTGGCCCACTTCCTTCTGTTGCTATCGGGGTTTGCAGGTTTGCTGCTGTTCCAGCCCCGATCTGAAGCATGGACGTATTTTGGAATTGGAGCGTCAGAAAAATCTTTCTCAAGTGTGGACTGCTGAAACCTGGGGTCTGGGAAATCGGCCTCCGGGTTGTAGATTGTTGGCTTTGCACATGGGATGGTCCAGCCTGTGGTCGTCTTCTAGAATCTCTTCCATCTAGGGCAGACAATGCTTTGTCCACCCCC